AAGATAGAATGGAGTGTGAGAGAGTTAATCCCGCATCACTCACCGTTTGGGAAATGCCGGTAGGAACTGGAGGATCTGGTTAGAGCCAATTCTCAAACGGCTTTACACGCACTTTATCCTTCACGAAAACATTCACGTAACGCGCGTACCAACATTATCTGCGGAAGAACTGGGTACCACCTCTAAAAATAACTTGAGAGAGATTATCGTGGGAGCAAGGCTTATAGGGGGGATTAAATTTCTTATACCTTTCATCTTCTCTTGAAGCCGATCATCATTTTAGATTTGCAAACAGGACTCTAAAGGTTTAAGCTCATCATGATCAGCAAGTATCTGATTAGCTACTGGAGTGGCGATTATTTCATTTTCTGGCAACATACGAGTGATGCGAGATTCTTCCTGAACTGTTGACTATGAAGCGTGTACACCAGTGGATTGATGCTAGAATTCAACAGCGCGCTTGCTGTGGTGACGAGGTGAATTGTAGCAAATTGCCCGCCAGGAATCACGGGACTCAGCATGCAAAGCATGGCGGCAGGGATCCAACACAGGACAAAGATGATGAAGACTGAAATGAGCATCTTAGTAACCTTGGTTCTGGAATGTGACATGACGTTTGCTGAGGAACCTGGCACCTGGACACGGCTGCGCAGACGCAAAATAATCCGCGTATACAGGTATCCCATGATGCATATGGGCAACACTGAATTGGCAAATGTCCAAGCAAGTGAATATGTTAGATCCGTTGCATAATTTGGATAGTTCTGGATGCAACCTTGACTTTCTGTATCGTAGGCCGATACTACGAGACCAGGCATTATCAACAAGATGGCGACGATCCATAGGGATGGCAGCAACCACGGTGATTGGCTACGTCCAAGCTTTTCAAATGGATGTAAGGTGGCGTTATAACGCTCAAATGCTATCACCACCAGAAGAAAGCTTGAGGCTGAAGCCGACGCCCAACCCAGAGACCCGCCGAAAATGAACTTGCAAAGCAAGTCTCCAATAACGCCGCCGGGTTGCTCGATAAAGTGGCTCAGAATGCAAGGTGGAATGAAGAAGACAGCGACCAGTAAATCAGCGATGGCCAGGTGGAAAAGAAGCCGGTTGATCGAGGTTTTCAGTGCTTTTTTCTTCAATATCACTAAGCACACCAGAGAGTTACCCGCTATGTTGAAAATTATTGTGGCGGCTAGACATAGTACGTATAGAAGAGTGGTAGTTGACATCACCAGGATTCAAGTTTGAGTCCAAAGTTGGATTCGTTATCTGTGTATATAAAAAATAAGGTTAAAAAGAAATTAAACCCCCGAACAGGGAAAGTACGACAAACAAACGTAAGAGAAATTTGAAAACCCGGCTATAGTTTTACGGTTAGGCTTACCGTCCACACTAATCCGGAGAAACTGTCCACCGAAAACGGAGCTTTTCAAAAACGCTCCTCAAACAAGAGGAATTTGAAAACACGGAAAATGATGACGTCACGATAATCATGTGATTAACCCTTCAGAGCGGAGAAACGTACGAGGTTGGCCTTTCTACCGTCGGTTTTAATGCGTTTTCAAATTTCTCCAGCGTATTGTGGACGGGGCCTCAGTTCCAAACAAACAACTAGCTAGCAAAGCAGCATTTCAAAAGCTCTTGTCCTGATTTTCTCGATCACAGTTTAATTTTCTGACATATGGTTTTAAAAATTTAAAAGCGATAGTCTTTCTATTTTTTGTGGCTAGATAGGTGAGGAATTTGACGACCTGTACTCCTCCGGATCAAAGTGGATTTAAAAATTTTGGCTTTCAAAACTTCTCATTTCCATTTTCGGCCAATGTATTAGGGCTCAAGACAAGGGATACTAAAAGGGACGGGAGACCCGGAGAATTACAGGGAGAATTTGAAATTATGGTGAACTCTTTCATTTACGCTCAACCACATTCGTTGATACCAAGTATTAGCTGATTAGTGAAGCTGACATTGAAGTTTTAATTAGTAGATGATGTGCTAAGTGAAAAGGTCATTTTTAAAGTATTTAACTAGGACTGACACATTTCAAACTCTAAGATTTGAAGGTCGAAAATTATTGCAAGAGAAACATAAATAAATAATTTCCATTTACAAGGCTAAAGGAAAAAGTTAAAAGTAGAAAACCGAACGTTTTCGACACTAGCTCATCTTCACTAGGTCACTTACCTTGAAGATGACCTAGTGTCGAAAACGTTCGGGTTTTTTTACTTTTAACTATTTTAGCCTTGTAAATAGAAATTATTTCTTGGAAACAAAGCGAATACTATAGACAGAAACATAAATATCAGTGGAACGCGTTATTTCATCTCCATAGCTAAAAAAATATCATGAAAGTCTTGATAAACAGATTGTTACTTATTCAATCGATAAAAAAGCTCAAAAAAGAAAGCAGATTAGATAATAATCAATTTAGCTACTTAGCAATTATACTCTTTAACAAAACACAAGTAGTGATGCGTCTGTGGAATTGAGAATACCTGTCTGTCAGAAGAAAATTGCACAAAACTGACCTACATTCAGCCTTCGGTGATTACATGGGAATACCTGCTGGAGTACATTTTTTTGTTAATTTCCGTGAATTTTTCATTTCAATGCAAATCTAAATGCGGCCTTAAAAAATCAGATATGTGATTACTGCCAACGTTTGCTGAAGTCGATCTGGTGACTATTCACCGTTACGGACAGGTGACAAGAAAGAATAAATATTAACTGCCCTGATGTACCGTCATACTCTCATAACTAGAACTACAAGAAATATATGACAACCAGCGAGGAGATTTTATTTTTCGAGCAGTCTTGAAACAAAAGACGACAAAGCAGCCTCTTCGTTTGCAGCTACGTGAATCGTGTCTTCAATGTCAAATGTGTGTAAATTCACCTGTTTGTATTTTCTTCTATGTGGGCTTAAGCATGCATTTTTAATCAAGAAAGCTGTTTATAGGAAAAAATGACAAACAAATACCAGAAAAAAATATTACATGGTACGTACGCCGGTTGCACTGAATTTGACTGGCCTTTTTGTAAAGATGGCCAAATGAAAAGTGCAATATTTCGGATGTCTCCGACAAGCGAGTTATCCGTCAATGAGTTATATTAACCTGCTTTACTTTAGTGCAAAAGACATGTTGTAAAATTAAATATCCTGTCCTGAATTAGTGTAAAAACCTGTCAGTTTTTATTCTCCTGTTTACTTTTTACAAGAACGAAACAAAAAACAAGACATTATTTACTCGCAACGCAGCTGCACACGAGTCACACAAGACCGACGAGGTCTGCCAAAAACATGTGAACGACATTCGTCGAAAATCGGTTGCAACGTTCTCGTTGTTGAAGGTTCCAGCCCTTAGCAATGCAGTACAAATCGTGTGCTATTATTATCGATTACAACAAAGGAACTAAAGCCTGGTTACAAAGAGCAATTATATCTTGCATACTGTAGTAGTTATGGCGAGCTTACCTATTTGTAAGTTTTACAATAGCAATGGGCAAAACAAAAAAAAATACAAATGTTTTTCTCCTATTACTATGATCTTATTCTAAATTCATTTCCCAAGGCTAAATATCGTTTGAAATGAAAAGGTTAACCAGTCGACACTCAGTTATCAACACTAGATCGCAATAAACTAAAAAAAACAAAAAAACAAAACAATTAAGGAGTATCAAAAAAGGCCCATTGGAATTTGCACTGTGATGCAAAAGATCAACCACTGAGTTGTGTTACCCATCAACTCACGGTCACACCAACTTAAATTTAGCAGTATTTTGGATAAACAATCAAGTGACCAGCGCCCCATCTCATAAATTATCCAAGGACCGTGAATGTCATGAATTCATGGAAGTTAAACTAATCAGATTACAGGTCATCACGTCCATCACATTTGAAGCTAACAGAGTTCTTAAAGTCATACCATTACAAGAAATTTAGTTCCAACTAATGGCAACAAGTTGCTTTTGGTCCAAGTAACATCAATAAAAGCAAATCATCCAAAACTCTCTGTATGGCATGAGGTAATATATCTTCCATTTCACTCTTGCTGACAGAAAAGGAGGACACAAAGTAGCTGCCGAGGACTTCCTCTTTTGCTTCGCGAAGAAGGTGTTTCATCATACCATCCAACCGTGCAAACAGCTCTTCATTGCTCCAGAATTTTTCGTCTGGAAATTTTTCCAGCTCGAAAAGGAATCCAGTTTTTAAAACATAAGAAGTCAGCACAAAATTGTCTCCCTTATGCTGGTCACGGAAGTATTTTGCACACCTGTAGCATGTTAGGCGGTTGCTGTCTGGGCTGAAGGATTTGAGAATGTGCATCTCCGCAACTGAAAACGATGCACGCCACAATGGAGTGACTGCCACAACATGGAAACCGAGTTTTGTGACTTTTTCCTTGAGGGTCTTGGAGTATGATTCCTTAGCAGCTCCCAAGCAGGTAGTTGTCGTTGCTGAAATGTCTGTCCATTGAGGCCAGTGGAAAAACTTAATAGCAGGTGTAATGTCGATGGAAATGTCCAACTTCCTGTACTTGCGTCCATTCCAGGTCAAAACTAAAGTGACCGAGGGGCCTTTGTGGCCAATTTTGATTGACGGCCCCCAGCACGCTGGAAGCGGATCCATAACATCTAGGGCACTAAGCAGTGTTCTCTCAAAAGCGTTGAAGAATCGTCCAGATGAAAGGCCAGAAGAACCATGAATCAAATCAGAAAAAAGTGTGTATGCTAGGAAAGGATGGGGTTTCACTATAGGACGACCGGGAAATCCACTGTGCCAATGGACTGAGCAGGCTCCACGAAAAGAAAGAACTTGAATTTCCGCCATGAAGTCAAACTCATCAGGTGCCGTAACTTTCGTCCCCTCGTAGAAACTTCCACTCGGAATAACCGTGCTGATGAAGCGGCCCTCTAGTTTTCCGATACATTTTAACAAGTTATTAACAAACGTTTCGACTGCGACTTGGATTTGTTGGTTTTCTCCACCTTGTTCAAGAGCCCTTCCAACTTCAGCTAGACGTGTTGAAACTGTGCTATCCCTACCAAAGGCGGTCGCATCCCCTAGGTCGATGTTTTGCCTTCGTCTGTTGTGTATGTGCGTTAAGAATGATGGCATACCACCATAATCGTCAGGGTTCAAAGACCCAAAGCGATGCATTTCAATAGGTTTTAGACGACAAAATCTCCACTGGAGTGAAAACTAACACACTTTCACCACTTCCGCCTTCCTAGATCTGAAGCCTGAGGCACTTGACGCCAGCGGCAAACAAATTAGATTCCAGGGTCTTCTCGTCGTCTCCAATTCCAATCTAACTTTCTGTAGTAGAATTCTACCAGTATACTAATGCGAATGCTGTAATCTGATTGGTTGAGCCATTGAACACTATAAGCAATTAGTGTGCAGTGGCTGGAGGTCGTGTTGGAAATGACGACGTTTTTTCTCGTTTTTCCAAAGTTTTGGAGGAAAATTTGATGCAAATGGTTAATTAAATTCCTGAGAAGGCTAAACGAAGGACATTTACGGTTTCTTGACTTTTAAAATGTTAAAATTATTGAAAAAACTGATGCGCGCGCGCACACAACTTCAATTTTAAATGACAATTCAACTGATCCGAGCGATCTTTTTCAGGCGCAAAGTTTAATAATACGTTAAGAAATCATTGGAAACCGTTATTTGAAGTAAAATTTAGAAAGAACTCTACTAAAACAATTAGATTATTCGCTCTCGATTTCTATGAGGTGATAGTTGATGAGGCCGAAGGCCAAATCAACTATCACCTCAAGGGGCCAGTCATCAAGTGTTCTGTTGTGCCTCCCAACTCAAAACTAGGACAACCTGCACGAATATTTTTTGCTTGACGCCGGCTGGCACAAAAGTTAGCGAGTTTTGATCCATTACTCGTGACATGTTCTGGTCGTTCTCTTCTAATCGGAAAATGTGGTTGAGTTTGGGGTTATAAAAACGTTGCTTATCTAACTGTTTTATTATTATCATTATCATCATCATCATCATC